ATAAGGGTTCCTGAGGTGTAGGGTGGGGGAAGGAGGGGCTAGAGGGGAGTTAATATATCAAGGAGTTCAAGAAGAAAGAAAATATTTTGAAAAAATTATGTCAGCACCTGTACAATTATGCTTGATCTAATTGAAATAAGATATTGGTCAGAGCCCCCAATAAAATGATTAACTAAACAGATAAATAAAAGGTCAGCTGGGGTTGACTAGGGATGGGGTTTCTTCAGAAACGCCGAGTCTTCTTCAACATGTGGTGGTTAGTTGATCTTTTGATCTTGGAGCTATAAATTCGCAGTGATTTTCCTATTCTTCTACTCTCAGTAAGGCATAGAGGCTCTGCTCCTTTTAAAATCTGAACAACAACCAAAAATCCCAGTGAATTGATGCTGACTCCCAGTAACACTATCGGACACAGTAAAACTGACCTTCCAGGTTTCCTAGACTGTAAATCTTTCTAGGAGAAGACCGTTTCGTCCTTCTCCCTTGGAGCTGCTAGTGTGTTACAACTACAGACCTTGAATTAGCAGCCCAGCCCCGAATCCACTGCACCACCAAGGGTCTTATTAAATTAGGCCTACCCATAATAATCCCTCTGTTGATTAAAGATCAACTCATTTGGAATCTTAATTACATTTTCAAAATCCCTTCAATTTGGCTATATAAAGCAACCTGCTCAAGGGAGTCATATTCATGACAGTCCCAGGTTCCAACCGCAATCAAGGAGAAGCAATTACGTAGAAGGTAGGAATTTGGGGCCCATCTTAGAATTATGCTTCCATAATATTACAGTACTTTCTAAAGCTTTTAAGCTCTTTAATGACAAATAAGGCAGCATTATTCAAACACTGGAACAATCTGTATCTGAAGATAGGACAAATTCAACAGTTCTAATCATGGCTACATATTGAAATAACCTTGAGAGATCTGGAAAATACTGATGTTTGATCCTATCTTCAGATATTTGATTCTATCTTCAGATTCTATCTACCAGTTTAATTTGTCTGGAGTGCAGTGGCTTGCATCAGGATTTTATAAAGCTCTTTAGGTGGGTACACCAAGGTCAATCGGCAGGCCAGTTTATTAAGACAGTGCTCTAAAACTTTGGTGAGTGGCTATTTGGCCTTGAAAGCTCATGAGCCATCATCTGAGGTGCAAATACTGTTCTCTCCCCATCCAGAGAAAAAGAATGATGAAAATCAAAAGACACATGGAAAGAATTAGCCCAATGGGCTCATGAGCAACACAAATACCAGTCTCCACAACTCTGAAACAAGAAGAACTGGATGATGCCTGGCTGTCACTACCAACTGCTCTGAAGAATTACGTTAGAGGGTTCTGGTCAATCTTGAGAAATGGTGGAACATACTTCAGAATTATTATAGACCGAGCTTAATAGGATAGAGACTGGTGGCACCTCCCAAACTATGGTCCTTAGTCACCATTGAGGTCTGGAGCTGAATTCACTCTGTGTTAGAATCACCAACCACTTAAGAACAGACAGGCAGCCTTCAGTCATGGGAGGAAGGTTTCGGGATGAAGCGAGGTGAGTGATGACACATGGAATCAATGGCAAAGCCAGAGTTGAAACAAAAAGTCCATCAATTATTCAGTGATCTTCTCTGTAAACCTTCACCTGAATCACTGTGAAAATCTCCGTGAATGATTGAATTGTATGATATGTAAACTACATGCCAATAAAACTGTTGGGGAAAAAGAAAAGAGCTTTTTTTTTTTTTAACGTGATGGAAAAGGTCAACCATTTGCAAGCACATTAGGATAAAGGAAATGCCCTCGTAGGCAATCATATAAATAAATGTTTATTATAACAACAACAACACACACACACATTTTGTAAAGAAAGAATGAAAAATAAAAGCTCTCCAGGTGCTTACGCTGTGCAGCCAGGAATGAGAACCAGCGATCTAGAACACCTTAATCAAAAGCAACTGCAGAAAGTGGCGGCAGGAATAATCATGAGGACGATGCTTGATAACGAGCTGAAGCACAAGTTGCATTAGCACACTTTATCTCGTGATATGGAGTAAAGGAAGTGGGTAGGAGGAGAAGTAACTATCCTGCTTTTTCTTTCTTGCTTTTTTAAGATGAGGAAAATAGAAAGGTGCGAGTTGCCCAGGCTCAGAGCTGGCCAATGAAACAAGTGGGATTTGCCTCTCTCAGTTCTGACTGATGTCTGACTATGACATTTGTCAAATTACTCCATTTTCTCATCTCTGAAATGGAAGAATTTTAGTTCCTGGCTCATATCATTGCCATGAAGTCACTGAGTTGCTTTGACAGAATAAAACTGGGGCAGGCCTCAGGTTGAAGTATCTGTTAATAACAAACGGTCACCTCCAAGTGCCAGTTGGAGTAGATTATTTGTTATAATAGAATAAGCACTCCCAGGCAATACAGAACTAGTTGGCTAGCTTCATAATTTGAATTTATATGCACCTGTATGACATCTTACTTCAGAACAGATTGAAAGCTATGGTAGTAGACTAACTATTTGATGTTCTCTAGGAGGATTGATTTTGGGCAAAGGAGTACAATGTAAAGTCGGTCTTGGCATGCCTGCCTGCCCTATACCTATGTGTCTATTACATCACCTCGTAAGTGCCTTTCCATCATCCCCGAATGCTTTTCTAACATCTAGCACTCCATTGCTTTTGCTCCTGTCTTATCTTTCTCAAGAAGTCATTGTCTACATCACTGTTGACAGTTTTGAACAGTTTCTCTCTGCACTGACTCTGTGAGCCACCACCAGCCTTCACTCTTATTTGCATATTAATGGCTTCTGCATTTCAAAGCCAAATCATTCCTATCTTGAAAGCCTGGTTTTGCATTTTCAACTAGGATACAACTAGGGGTTGCTGTCAGATCTATGTCAGTTCAGGGACACTTGGTGTGTCAGGATAGAATTGTCACCACAGGGTTTCCAGGACTGCTTTGTCAGAAGCAGATCTCCAGACTTCTATTTTGAGAGGCCTCTGGATGGATTGCAGTCAAGAACTTAACCATTCGTGCCACCAAGAGACAATTCTCACTTTTCATCGGTTTCACATTTGCAAATGTACCTAGTTTCTAAAATTCTTTTGTAGTCCCAATTTGAGGCTGGTGATGCTTCCATGAACTCTGAAAACGTTGAGTCACACATTGCCAGTTGAGGGCAAAAAAAGGCAACGCTCTATTCCCCTCCTTCACTTTTCGTACAGTAAACAAGGATCCTTTTCCAGTCTCTTTGGCTATTCACTTTTAGCATGTTTGCACTTAAAAAATTAATAAATCATTTTAATTGGGGCTCTTACAGCTCTTCTAACAAGACATACATCAATTGGTTTCATTTGTTTGTTTTGGGTCTTAGGTGCCTGATACCCAATCTTGTCGACACCTCATGATCACACAGGCTGGTGTGCTTTTCCATGTGGGTGTGTTGCTTCTCTACTAGATGACCACTTGTTTAACTTCAAGCCTTTAAGGCCCCAGAAGCTATATTTTTAATAGACATGCACCATCAGCTTTCTTCACCACATTTGCTTATGCACCCATTTTGGCTTCAGTGGTCATGTCGGGAAGGTGAGCATCACAGAATGCCAAGTTATTAGAACAAAGCGTTCTTGGGTTGAGGAAGTATTTGAGTAGAGTAGGCTAATAATTAACCTATAAATATATGTACATAGACCTATATCCATATTAATATATTTATATATTTACATATGTGCATGCCTATATTTATACCTCCATAAATGTCTTTTGCCACCTAGTTCTTTCCTCTATTTCTTTTTACTTTCCTCCTATCCCACTATCATGATCGATCTTCATTCAACTCTCAGTACTTTCTCTCAGCTACAATGTACTTGATTAAACCCCACCAGGTATTCTATGCACTCCTTACCATTGATTTTAGATCTCTTAGCATTCCCTGATCCCTGGGTTTTATGGCTCCCCCCTCCCTTTCTCCCACTTCCTCCTCTCCCATGTCCCTCCAGAGCCATCGCCCCATTATTTTCTCCTCAGGATTGGTTATCCTGCCTATCTTATATCGATAGACATGAGAAAAAGGAAAAAAAGAAGCCTATAAATAGTTCCAGTTCTGTCTGCTGCCACTTCTGGTTGTTTTCCAATCAGATCTGGTGAAGTGCCACGCCTTGCCCACCAATTCCGAAGTCTGTTTTGGGGATTCCTCGGTTACTTCATTGCTTTGCTCCCCTTGCTGCTCTCTTGCAATCCCTTTGTGTTTCACTTCGGTGTGGAGGGGTCAGACCAGGCACAATACCCACGCTGTGTCCAGTGTTGTCTCCCTTAGCACTGTGGTTCAGTGAGGGGTCATTGTGTCTCATGGTGGGGCCAGCCCCACGGTCCTCTCTGTACATTGGTTGCTCTGAGCAGGAATGTTGTCCTCAAGGCTTGGTGGGCCAGGTTGCCGTTCCCTCTTCTCTCTCTCTCTCTCTCTCTCTCTCTCTCTCTCGGTTTGCTTCCCTATGGTCTGGGTAGACCTCTCACTCTTCCATGAGGTTGTATCTTCGGTGCTGTCTTCTATAGAACATTCTTCTGGGGAGGGGATTGACATAGCTGGGACCAGGTGGCCAGCCCACAGAACTTTTTGTCAGTTTGCTGCTTCATGTTGGTCAGTTGCCCTGGAGGCTTGGCACCCCATGTTGAGGTCTGGTCCCTTTCTTGCTTTCCTATACCAGTCAGCATGGGCGTTAGTGCCCTGTTCCCTCACTATCCACACCCTCGGGGTTTTTCCCCCCTTCCCCTACTTTTTATGTATGCCTCCTGGCATATACGTTTGCACTTTTGACTGGTGGTTTTACTGTTTGAAATGTCCCCCACGAGTAGTGCAGAAGTGTTACTTAAACACAAGAAGGATGTGATTTGGCTATTGGGGAAAATACATGTAATCGATAATTTTTGTTCAAACACAAAATTATTGTGCTGCTTCCTGTGATGTCAATGGTAATGAATCATCAAGTATATTAAATAAGGTGGTTTTTTTTCAGGGGAGAGCGCGAATACAGTCCCCCACTACGACAAATTATCCAGCCAAGTTTCCCACATTTGGGGAAATTGCAGGGGTCAGCACATCCGGAGTGCAATGGATAAGCCTTGCCCTGGGAAAACCAACTTCTTGACCATGGGATCTCCCCTGCCAGGGAAGTATAAATAAGGTGTTTTCAACCAGAAACATATAAAAAATAAGGTTATGTATTAATCAATTGACGAAAATACTGTGGCCAAAAATACAACGCTCCGGAGTCTACCCCTGCATTCCCTTTAGCAACAGTGAGGATTCAGTATTTTCTACCTTAATGTTCACAGTGAGTTTTTAGAGTGTGGCTATTGTGAAGAACAAGAATCACGTGTGCCTGCAGACTGTTCCTCCTCTGTCCACTAGTATCTGAAATTCTAACCATCTAGAGCTACATCCCCTTTCTTAATGTGCATCCCAAATCGGATACCTAAGTGTCAACCCAGATGCCTTCTCTTCCTCACACAACAAACCAAAGAGTGGCCAAGTTACAGGAATTTACTCTTCTGGCATGATAGGGTTAGCACTGTACTGTTTAATTATAGAGTTGGTGCGTTCAGCTCCTGAGCTGCTCCCCGGGAGCAAGGTGAGGCTGTCCGCACCCCTGCAGAGTTACAGTACAGGACAGCCTAGCGAGCAGTTCTCCTCGGTCCGTTCGAAGGTTGCTATGAGTCAAAGGAGCCCACCAACTGAGGGCGCCACATTTGTGCCCACGACAAGAAAAGTGACTCAATAGACAAGAAATGATTTAAAATTGAGTCATCATTTAAATGATAAATGATTAAATAGTATCATTAGTAGCATACGCAAGTAAAATTTTGCTAATGATAATTCAGAAGCAACAGTGCATCCACATGGAGCTGTCAGAAATTTAACTCAAATTCAGGATCATAGATGGCATGAAGGATACCATGGCTGGTATCAGTTGGACCTTGGCTGAAAGCAGAGGATACCCAAAAGGCGTTTACTTGAATTTGTTGGCTATGCAAAGGCATTTGCCTGTGTGGATCATAATTAACTGTGAATAACAATGAGAAGACTGGGAAGTTCAGGACACTCCATTGTGCTCAAGTGAAATATATACAAGTACTAAAATAGTTCTTCAAACAGAGTCAATGTGGTTTGGAATCAGGCCAGGTGTGCATCATTGTGCTGTCCTTTCCCCAGACTTGGCCGATACGCAGGTTGAATGGTTTACAAACAGAATATACTTATTGTTCTTATAGAAAAATAGAGGAAGTCACTTGGACCTGAGTAGTCAATATTTTCCATTACCTAGAACACTTAAGGCTTGAAACATAAATAACCTGAGCAGTTGAATTTTGTAATACAAATCAGTTTAGCAAATATTTCTTGAGCCATTATATATGTAGACACTATACTCACTGTAGTTCTTGCTCTCACATACCTCGAATTCTAACAGAGGAGATGTGAATTCAAACACACAGTAGAGATAAGAGTGGAAATAATTCTGTGTCCAGGTAGTATGAGAATACAGGAAGGACTAAATTCACCATGGGAAACAGTGGATGAAAGGTGTCCTCAGGAAGGTGTATTTGAACTTTATGGAGCCATGCAAACCTTTTAGAGCAGAAGGTAACATATCCACTATCTGAATAAGAGCATGGCAAGGTCCAAGTGACTTCCTCTATTTTTCCATAAGAACAATAAGTATATTCTGTTTGTAAACCACTTTTGTAATATCTCAATCACTGATAAAATTCTTTAAGGTGAAAGTTACTGTGACTGTTACATATACGCTAAAAGGATTATGTGTTGGGCTGCAATTCACAAGGTCAGCAGTTCAGAATCACTAGCGGCTCTGCCGGAGAAAGATTGCGCTTTCTAGTCCCATGAACAGTTACAGTCTCAGAAACTCACAGTGGGTTGCTATGAGTCAGCATTGACTCGATGGCATTGAGTTTAGGTTGGGTTAAAATTACAGACTTTCAGACCCTTAATGGAGATTATTCCACTTAAAACGTGTAGAACCCCAAGTGAAAATTATCTCTACAATATGGATCTTGAAGCAGGGCAGGACATTCTTATGTATTTGGAACCAGAGAACAGAAACCAAGAGCAAGTGCTGTCTCCCTTGGTGCTGACAAACGGAGGACCTTCAAAGTACCAAGATGGGTCTTATGAGCCCTGGGCTTGCTGTTTTGTTTATTATGATTATTTTGGTTTTGTTTTGTTTTTTCACTTTCACTGTGAATTGAGTGAAGGTTTACATAGCAGATCATCAGTTTTACATTAAACAATTCATGTACATTTTGTTTCATCTCCTTGATTGCAAAACCATCAATGTATCATCATTTATCCCACTTCCTTTCAGTGTATCCTGTTCTCATTTTTCCTTCTTTCCTAACCATTCTGATGTTTGTCCTGGGAACATGCTGCCTTTTTGATTCCAATGATTGATTATTCTATGGTCTGTGTGTCCCATTAATGTTATTGTTCCCTAGATTTGTCTATTATTTGACTGAAAATGGAGCCGTGGGGTGAGTTCATTTTCAGAGCTGAAGGTTGACTAAGGGTAATACACTCAGGAGTTCTACAGTTTCTATCTGACCAGTAAGCCTGGTCTTTTATTATGTTTTTAAAGTTTGTTCCACAGTTTTCTCCCATTCTATATGGGGCTTCTAATGTGTTCTTTCAGAGTACTTGGTAGTGATAATGAACATTTAATCTTGGTTTCAGGGTCTTGGACATTGATGTTTGCCTGGTCCTTTGGACTAATCATTTCCATGTGTCTTTGATTTTCATCACAGCTTTTTACCTTTGACCAGGACAAAGTCAGTAGTTGCACCTTAGATGGCCACTCATGAGCTTTCAAGACGGTGGTTGCCACACATCTTTGTGATATAGAACATTGTCTGTGTGCATTATGTTATGCCAAATGATTTTGTGTCGCATAAGACCTTGGTTCTGAGCCCCCAGACAACTTGTTCCCTCAAGTGATTGGTTATGGGTATAACACTTCATATAGAATTGAAAGGTAGGTGATAGCAAAGAAACAATTTTAAAAATAGTTTTATTGACATATAAGTCACCTGTCATACAATTCAATAGTTCAATCTTATTAAAAAGAGTTGTGTAATAATTACCACAATCAAATTCAGAACACTTTCTTCTTTTTGTAGTCATTGTTGTTAGCTTCCCATTTCCCCCAACCTTCTCCCCTGCCATACTCCTAGGAAACTATTAATCTAGTTTTTGTAACAGCTTTCCTTCTCCTGGATTTCAAATACAGAAAAACATACCAAAAAACAAAAAACAATTACAAACTAAATCAAAAAACAGCTACAACTGAAAAGAAAACAGAAAATATTAAAAACTAACAAATTTAAAATGGGTCAAAAAGGAGATCAAATGATAAGGTGTTAAATACCATGACCCATTCTGTCTGATAGCAAGGGCATTCTATCCAGTGTCAATGGTCAGAAAGGAACCTCAAGGGTCTTAATTCATGTGGAGACCCTGCAAATGCATTTGGGGATTTCACTTTCATCCATAGTCTTCAGCAAACCAGGTGTTTAGAATTTAAGCTTGAATACTGTTTCCTCCTCTAGATTTTGATTATTTATAATCTTTGGATCACACAAGATGGTATACTCCTTCCATGTGTACTTAGTGGTCATGTCACTTAGATGGCTGCTTGTTTTAGGACAAACCTTTAAGACCCAGATGCTATTCTTTCTGATAGGCAAGTACTCTCTAATTTCTTCACCACACGTTGCTGTAGACCCATACCTTTAGTGCTTTCTTCATGATGGCAAGCATCCAAGAAGGGCTTGTTATAAGAACTAATCATTCTTTGTTTAGGGCCACAATTAAGTTTGAGCTCAAAGTCCACTAGTATATCTATGGTTTATATATGTCCCTGGTTCACTTTGGATTACCATTTTATGATTGAGAACAATATAAAACATCCCCATGGGGCATATGGTAATTCTAATGATAGTATCCTTGATTTAGTCAATGGTATAGAATTTAAAACACTATTTATAAAAGGAAAGTATACATGTATAGGACAGCTGTTTAGACCAAAATAAGTGGATTGCTGACTTGTACAGATTAAAAACATAAGTGACTGGACACTATTTACATGAATAATGAGGATTGGAGATAGGGCAAAACTTTCTATAACACTAATTCACAAAGGTAGAACCATGCCTGTTAGACTAGCACATATCATAAAAAGCAAAGAGGGCATGAATACACTAAATATGTGGTAGCCTCCAAGCAAAAGATGCAAACCAAAGTCCAACAAACAACAACTTCATGACCTTGGGAGAGCAGTCATCTGCTTTTTCTCACTCCAGGGCATTTCAACCTTAAGTCCAAGGGAGGATCTCGGTATTTAACTGTGCTACAGGTGAGTTTAAGGTAAATCCACTTCGCTTAGTGGAACTTCCACATTGTACCCTTCTGGTGTGACCTGAATTTATTTGTTTTGTTGTGCACCTCGAAGGACCGTCTAAAGAAGCAGTTCTCAACCTGTGGGTTGTGACCCCTTTGGGGTTCGAACCATCCTTTCACAGGGGTTGCCTGATTCATAACAGTAGCAAAATTACAGTTATGAAAATAATTTTATGATTGGGGGGTCACCACGACATGAGGAACTGTATAAAGGGTCGCGGCATTAGGAAGGTTGAGAACCACTGGTCTAAAGTCTCAGTTGTCTATATAGCACATAGCCTGTGTCACCAGGGACTGGATAGAAAGTAGGTTAAGTTTGTCTAATTAGGAACATAATCCAGGGCATGTTCTCCCCTTGGGAGTCTGTTTAAATAATGTTAAGCATTTTTTTTTCAAAGGCAGGTTGCCTTCCCAGAAGAAACAACTCCTTGATAGCATTTTCCATCAGAGAATATGTGTGTTTTAATTTCATTTTGGTGAAAGTATACATGGCAATGGTGTGTTAGTCTGGGTAGACTAGAGAAACAAATCCAGAGAGATACATGTATAATAAGAAAGAGGCTCATATATAAGAGCAATTGAATATTGAGAAAACATCCCAGCCCAATCCAGATCAAGTCCCTAAGTCCGATATTAGCCCAAATGTCTGATACCAATCTATAAAGTCCTCTTCAGACTCACGAAACACATGCAATGATGCTTAATATGGT